TCAAAACAGTGGAGATGACAGTGGACTTCAGGAAGAGCCCCCCCACCTTACCATACTCAGCAGCACTGTATCAGTAGTAGAGTCCTACAAGTTCCTGGGCTCCACTATCTCACCATCACCATGAAGGCACATACTGGATGTGCTGTACTTCCTGTGCCAGCTCAAGAAGTTCAACCTGCCCCAGGAGCTGCTGATACAGTTCTACAGAGGAATCATTGAGTCTGTTCTTTGCACCTCCATCACTGTCTGGTTTGGCTCAGCAACCGAACAGCACAGGGACAGTCATGACTGCAGAAAAGATCATTGGTGCCAGCCTGGCACAGGGGCAGTTTCTTCCCCCGAGCTGTCACTCTGATGAACACTTAACCCACGACAGTATGACTGGACAATAATGGGGATATGTATGTGCACATTGAGAGCCGCTGTACCAGAGTCACATTCCTCGTGTCCAGCACACCTGGCCAATAAAGCTGATTCTGATTCTGAATGTGACTAACTACTGCAGCTGCCATGTCTGAGGTGAAGATGTCATATTATTTGAAATGTAACTTGTAGAAAACTAGAATGCTTTGAATTGTTGTTATCATTTACATTTTTGCACCCATCTTTAAAAAGATAGAATAAAGTTGCATGAAGTAACTTTTGAACACCAGATGGCACCAGAATAGAACAGAAACCAGCAGTGTGGGCTTCCCACAGAAGGCTGTAATGTCTCTCCTTGCAAAGTGACATGGCATATTCTAATTCATTGCCAATATAAAAACATAGTTTGTGGAGTAATGATGTTGACAACAGTTAAAGTAAAGGCTAAGAGGGTATTGAAGACATTTCTTCTGTTGTTGCAGAGGATGCAGCATTGCGAAGTCGTCTGACAGAGTGTCTGGAGACCATCCTCAATAAAGCCCAAGAACCACCAAAGTCCAAGAAGGTCCAGCACTCCAATGCAAAGAATGCTGTTCTGTTTGAAGCCATCTCCCTCATCATCCACCATGATAGGTCGGTCATATTCATTGTCATTGAATTTCTAAGTATCAGCGGTTTACAGGAGTATGTTGTGGAAAAGGAAATAGGAAGTTCTGTTTAATGTCCTGGGGAAGTTGACCTTTGTGTTACTAGATGGACCTTTAGAAAAGAATGCTGATTTCCAGCATGTTGTGTTATATGTTAGTTTTCAGCCCAGCTGTAGCAGACACCTCACTGCAATGCTGCATTTAAAGACACCATGAACAGATCACTAAGCTCTGACAAACCTATGCTGTCTTAAAGTGTCATAGTAAGGGCACGGAGCAAACCCAGCTGTCGTTAGTTCACATTCCTCTGTTGTGTGGCACTTATGGGTTTGTGGCTGTTATAAAGTTGTGGCATTTTGGCATTACCACTGTTTTTTGTGTCTCAGTGAGCCCACCCTGTTGGTACGAGCCTGCAACCAGCTGGGTCAGTTTCTGCAGCACAGGGAAACCAACCTTCGTTATTTGGCTTTGGAGAGCATGTGCACACTAGCCAGCTCAGAGTTTTCTCATGAGACAGTAAAGACACATATTGAAACTGTGATCAACGCTCTAAAGGTGAGTCCTTCAGCAGCTGTGTGCCTTTAATAAGCTTTTTCTAGTTTATGTGAAAGTGATGTGTTCAGAGTCAGTAACTTCTTCTAGAACCTGGAGGTTGCTTTTGTCATTTTAGTCACTTCATATCTTCTGCCTGTGTTTTCTGTACAGACTGAGCGAGATGTGAGTGTTCGTCAGCGGGCTGTGGATCTGCTCTATGCTATGTGTGACCGCAGCAATGCCAAGCAGATTGTGGCAGAGATGCTGAGCTACCTGGAGACCGCTGACTACTCAATCAGAGAGGAGATAGTGGGTCATCAGCACAGGCCTGTACACTATTCACTGCCTCTGTGTGCTGCTCTCACTCATAGCCAGTTCTCTTCTTCAGGTGCTCAAGGTGGCTATTCTGGCAGAAAAATATGCTGTGGACTACACCTGGTACGTGGACACCATCCTCAACCTCATTCGCATCGCCGGTGACTATGTCAGCGAGGAGGTGTGGTATCGTGTCATCCAGATTGTCATAAACCGAGATGATGTCCAAGGCTATGCTGCCAAGACCGTCTTTGAGGTGACTTAGGTTCATGCCATCACATATCAGTTTGACTGAAAGCATTTACCTCATCACTGATAAAAAGGCCACGTTTCCTAACAAACATGTTAATGTTGGCAACAACAGGATTAAATATGGGCTGGCTAAGAGGGATTGGGCTAGGACCTGTTACACTATGTGGGAATTGATATATGGGTTCATTCACATGGTTGCAGGTTCATACCAACAGGCCCATCTGAGCGTCTCACAGGGGCCTTTGGTTTTTCTCCTTTGAGTGCAAATTTAAAATGTTTTTTTCCAATCCCCTCCCCACATGCTCAGACTAACATGCTGTACAGTGCAGCAGTTTTGAATGTTTCAGCAATTTCAGCCATTGATCTAATGGATATGTATTTACTAATCAAGTCTGTTTCCAATCCTTTGCTCTGAAAGCACCAGCAGTCAAAACGCTCCACTGTGCTCTCCTAAAACACTTGAACCACACAAGGAAGGAACCAATCAGACATTATCTTTTTTTTGTCTTATTGCAGACTTAATTCAGCTGTTGTATGCTGTGTGTGCACTGTACAGCTGAAAATAAACACAAAATCAAACTGGGATCAGGGCTGTCAAAAACATGGTGGAGACACCCCTACAGTCGCAGCAGTAGGGATTTCTCCCATCCTATAAAAAAAAATCATATAATTGGTTGTAAAAACAGAGGAAAAATAACCCAAGATTAGTAATTAAAGTGAAGTTCTATGTGTGGCTCTCTGGCCCGATAACACTTTACCCCCAAAAAATGTTCAAGGAGGGTACACAGCGGAAAACCGGAGGGAGATTGTATTCTTGTAGCTGGACTATATGAGGTGCACATGTGCATGTTAGCCTGTTGGTTGCCACCTATTCTGTTCAAAATCTTACTTACACTAGATAACACTTTGCAGTTACTTCCATGTTCTTCCTAACCCAGTGCTGCCATGCTTTGTGAACATTTGTAGGCACTACAGGCTCCCGCCTGCCACGAGGAGACTGGTTTGCCCAATTTAAACAAAAATATCTTCTCACTTTCCTCAAGTGTCATCTATTGTAGCTTGAGATAGCGGAATCGAATTTTGCTTGTGGTGCTCAAGCATTGAAAAGTGACTAGAAGAGAAAATTAACATTCAGCAGCAATCGCTCTTCCAGAAAGTTTTACTTTGTTACAAGATCTCACTGTCTTTGACAGATTTTTCCATTGAAAGTAGTTTAAATTGAATCACCATGGCTAGATATGACCAGCTGTAAGTGCGAAAGTATGTTTTTGTAGTTTGGGTGAACCAAATGTTTTAAATGTTCTAAATATGCTGTATGTATGCTACTGTATGTTAAATGTCTGTCTAGAGCTCACCAGAATATTCAGAGGTGTTGCTGTTAATGCTTTGTTTATTCTCCTTCAGTCCTCTGGTCCAGTTCAACCTTCTCCACTCCAAGTTCCACCTGTGCTCTGTGCCAACTCGGGCACTGTTGCTGTCGGCCTACATCAAGTTCATTAACTTGTTTCCAGAAGTAAAGGCCACGATCCAAGATGTGCTGCGGTCAGACAGTCAGTTGCGCAATGCTGACGTAGAGCTTCAGCAGAGAGCTGTTGAGTACCTGAGGCTCAGCTGCATCGCCAGTACAGACATACTGGTTAGTGAAGAACGCAGGGAGTGGGCAACATACTGACACACCTAACAGTCTTTTAAAGCTCTGCAGGCATACATCAGATCAGGAGTTATGTTAGTCAGGATTCAGGTTAGCAGAAAACATCGATAGATGGTGCATTTTATTTGATGAATAGAATTTTGATTCTTCTTCAGCCACATGGTTGTTTTGTTCTGTTTTGCGTAGGCCAGCTATAAAGTGTAAAAATCATTCCACGCTGCAGCTGTGCCAGTTACTTCTTCTGTCAGGCCCCTTTTTAGAGATAAAAATAGCTCCCCTACTGCCTCATCACATATACCCACATAAACTCACACACCCTTTATTGTAACCTCCTATATTCAAAAAATCTGCTGTATTGTCTAAAATTAATACTGAGTTGTTTAATTAGAACAGCCTGTTGCAGTGGTGCTGTGATTAGTTCGCCTTCTGTGAAAAAGGGAAACGGATGAATGGCTCAGTCACTGAGGTCCCAATGGAGACAATGCAGGTCAAACACTCAGCTGAATGTTTGAGAACATATACCTAACAGTCTGCTTAAAGCCTCATCATATTGGCCTGTCATTGGTTTTGGACCTGGAGAGTTGACGCATTCAGAGTCGGGAAATTTCATTTATTTGACAGTTGTTCTTCCCTCTGTTTGAGTGCATTTGGTTTGTTTATTGTGAGTCATGCAGCACTGCCCCCTGTGGGTTATATGGCAGCAGTAATCTTGAGAGAAAGTTAAGTCAGGCTTTGTAGCCTGCAAGGTTTATATTGCGACGATCCGTTACTTCTCAGTGTTGTGCCTTGGACATCATTCGTCTTTTACAAAAAAAACCCCCAAAAAACAAAGTAATTTGCCAGTGAATAACAAGAAACGTCACGCCTTGGTTTAATTGGGGAATTACACCCTGTAAGCTGACTGTCTAGCTTTGAAGACTGACTACTCACGGCGAGGACAGTACAACAGTCATTTTACAGATGTCTGTGCGTGTTCACTTTGCACCAGCATTAACAGTGTACTGCTAAAGCTAGGGAAGTCTTAATCAAGTTTTTTTGTCCCTGATCTTTATCTAAGTCCTTCAGCTTTGGGTATTTGTTGATAACAAGTCCAATCAGATATTTTTATTTACTTACATGATTGATTAAATATGTGTCTGACGTGTACAGATATGGTATATGCTGCATCTTCACAAGTCACACTTGTGTCACATTAGCCAGTTTGGTGTCATAACTAACTCTTTGTGCAATCGCTCTAGATCTGTGAAAATCCCCACAGCTAATTTTACAGTGGTACAGTATATGTTGCCCAGGCCTATACTTTTACAGAATTGTCTCACTCTCTCTGTCCCTCCACAGGCCACAGTCTTAGAAGAAATGCCCCCATTCCAAGAGAGAGAGTCTTCTATCATGGCCAGGTTGAAGAAGAAGAAGGGCCCAGGCAACCTGCCTGACATTGACGATGCCCGGCGGAATGTCAACGGCAGCACTGAGCACAGTGAGAACAATGAAGCCACAAACAAGGTGACTCCACAGTAGTAGTAGTATAATGGGTAGTAGTGAAATCAGATCAGGACAGTTTTTATACAAACCTCACCCAGGAGAGACTTTGAATTCTTAACAAGTGAAGAAAGAAGTACATTTAGGAGTTTTCTGGTTTTCTGCTGCATCACCCAGCAGTCGTATTCTGCATATTGTTGTATATTGTTTGTTACTAGTTTACAGCATTTTGGCCGTTGCCTTGATTTGTTTTACACTCACCATTTCCTTGACCTTCCCTTTTAAGTTGTCCTTTTTCCTTCCTTCTCCATCATCACTCCTCTGTCCTTGTTCTCCTCCTTCTGTGTTTTTCTCCATCACTGTTGGCAGACCCACCCTGTCCCCTCGAGCCCCGTCATGCTCTCCTCTGGGACCCTGGTAGATAGCTGGTAGATTGCTAGATAGAAACAACACACAGTGTAATGAATGGCATTTTTCTTTATTACCACTAGAGTTGCAGCTATTCTTGTTGCATATATTTTATTTTGTTGTTTGATCTTTTGGCAATATGTCTTTATTATGTTAGTGTATGTTAAATTATTTTTGCTTCAAAGTTTCCCAGCTCTGAAACTAGAGCTGAAGAGATTTCACCTGACCTATTGTAGGATTCTGTGGACTTCGGATGACAAATACTGATAATGGGTTTAATGTTACTGTTGTGCCTGTAATGTTAATGCCTGACCCAGCAGGCGTTGAGCATGAACAAAACCTTTAGCTGACATCACAGACAGTGGCATTGCAATTGATATGTGGAATAGTATCAACATTTTCAGGCCATGAACTATGACATTCTCCAGTCATTAGCACCTTACAGAAGTTGATAGTGTGTCTTCTAACAGTGGTGGCTCTCAGTTGACAGTAAAAAAAAAAAAAGCTTTTGAAATCCCCAAATACATATTTGCTGTAGTGTTGTTATAGTTTCCTTACAAGAAAAGTTTGAAGACTTTTCCATTTGTCTTTCATTTTTATGCTCTAGAAAGTGCGAATTAAACAGATTGATGTGGACCATCTCTTTAGCCTGGTATTATGACCTCATTTTTAACTAATATTTATATATTTAAAAAGACTATACAGACACTTTCCGATTTCCATGTGCTGTGTTTGTAGGTACTGTCTGTGACAGATGATATTTGCCAGTGTTCCTCTCCTAGGGTCCCACTCACCCCTTCACAGACCTGGTGAATCTAAACTCCCCTCCTTCAGCAGAGGCAAGCCTGCTAGTTGACGTCTTTTCTGACAGCTCTTCTCCTGCTTCCCCTCTTCCCCTCGATGTGTCGGAGGACAATTTTCTCAGGTGAGACCACACTGTGATCTTAAATGGTGTCTTTTTTTTAACCCTCCGTGAATGGTACACATTCACAACACTGCCAGAGTTTGTAATTCTGTATATATGGTACATACCTGGTCTGAACAGTCCAGCTGCAAAGTGTGGACCCCTCTGTGCTTTCTTCCATATCTTCTTTAAATGTCTGCTTTCTAATTAGCTGAAATGTTAAAACAATATTCTGCTAATGTGACAGTTTGTCACCATCCAAGCAGATGGCTTGACAGGTTTATAAAATGTTGTGTAATAAACAGATATGGTAGTTCTCAAACCTTTTAGTTGTACAGTTGTACTTGTGTGCTTGTAAATTCCAGGTTTGTTTGCAAGAACAATGGTGTCATCTTTGAGAACCAGCTTTTGCAGATTGGACTGAAGTCTGAGTACAGGCAGAACCTGGGTGAGCAGCTCTTTTGGAACATCTCCTCAGACCTCAGTAGTGTTAAGGATGTTTTTTAAAAGGCTAGCGTAGCAGAATAGCAAAAAGGATAAGATGCCAAAGGGGATAAGTAATTATCATTTTAAATGTACTGGACACTGCTCAGATGTGCTTAGTTCAAAAGGATGAACTCAAAGATAGTTTACTTGCTTTGTCCCCCAGGTCGCATTTATGTGTTCTACGGCAACAAGACGTCTACCCAGTTCCTCAGCTTCTCCACGTCGGTGACCAGTAACGACATGCTCAAGACTCATATCCTTTCCACCACTGCTTGGTAGCTTCTCATCCCTGAACCCTATCCTCACCCAAGAAAAGAGCAGATATGTTGCTTGACACACAGCATCTGCATTGTATTTGCTCAGGTTAAGCAGTGGCTGGCCCAGCTGGCTTGTAATGGCAGTCACCTCTTAGAGCTGGGTCCGCTCAGTTGTCCAACCACTGACACTATTCTACCAAGGCTGTCTAACAAAAGATGACTATTAACAATTCCAGTGAGTCTATAGCTATATTATCACCAACACCAGTACAGGCTTTGTGTTGGTGTGAAGGCAAGTCTACAGGGTCAACACAAATCCTACCTGACATGTTCGAGCCAGAATATGAAAGTGAGCGAGACTTGTATAAACAGAGTTGCTTCTGCATAGAAGTACGAGGACATAGTACACCTCATTTTTGAGCTTTAGGTCATGCCTGAGATGATAATTCACTGTTGTAACATTGTAGATAAGTCAGAATTTAAACAGATGTCATTCAAACTTCCACACAACAATATGGACAATGTGAATGGGTGTGAATACAGCTGTCGGTGTGAAAGTAGCTGTAGGTGTGCTGAGATGTATACTAGTGTCACTGAGTTATTTGTTGCATCCTTGACCATTGTCTCCACAGCTGAATGTCCACTGTAAATCAGTAGACCCCACAATAGAAGGTGGGGCTCAGGTCCAGCAGATCCTCAACATTGAGTGTGTGTCAGATTTCACAGATGCACCAGTACTCAACATCCAGTTCAGGTCCGTGTCTGAATCCACACCTTATTCTGGGAGTATTTACTTCCTTACATATATGCTCATTTCTAACTGTCTGTGTGAACAGATACGGTGGAACTCTTCAGAACATTGCAGTGAAACTCCCTGTGATGCTGAACAAGTTCTTTCAGCCCACAGAGATGACATCCCAAGACTTCTTCCAACGCTGGAAACAGCTTGGAGCGTAAGGCTCACTTTACATTGTCCATGCACTATTGTCCCATGGTTCCTGCCAGCATTCAGTGATGTACCTATATTTGAATGAAAATCATTTACTTGTATCATTTGTGTGACTCATACCCAAGCACCAAATTTCTCCTCCTGCTTGTTATGTACATTTTGCAACATGTACAGCAAGCTTTTTATCTCTAGCTGACACTGAATATCACATTTGCTGGTTTCTTCAATATGACATGTAAATAATTGAAAGTAAGTAAAGTAACCTTCCACTGGTGTTGTGTGGTTCAGCAAGGTCAACGGTGTGGCATGTCTTTGCAATGTAATAATCTGTTTGAAAACATACAGATTCCAGCTTTGGCTCTGGATTCAGGTTCAGTAATGCATTATAGAAATCTAACCCTCATTTGTGCATGGGCACATGAAGCATGGTAAAGTGATGTGAACTCTTCAATATCGGCAAAATAAATGAATGAAGAGAACGAGGTTCAGATGCATCATGTGTATTGCAGACATAAGTAATTATCTTCTCTTGGCTTCTCTGTGTCCTCAGTCCACAGCAAGAAGTTCAGAAAATCTTCAAAGCCAAACACCCGATGGACACAGATGTTTCCAAGGCCAAGGTAAGAGCAACTGCTCAGCTGTCGACATTGCCCAACTTTTTGTGTGAAAATCGCAACTCATTTTGACATGCTCTTGAACCACTCACACGTGAGACAACATTCACATCACAGAGAAACTCTTAGTCGCCATGGCATGCTCATTTCCAGTCATTTAATGTTTAATCTTGGGTACC